CCAGCAGCCCTGCTTCYGAAGGGCGCCGTTCAGCCTCCAGCTGTTCCTGTCAGCAGTCCCCCAAAGCAGCCAGGGCTCACGGCTCTTCCCAGAGCAGCCCGTTCAGCAGCCCTCCCCAAATCCCGAGCGCCTTTGCCAGCTCTGCCAGCTCCGAGGAGGACCTGCTGGCCAACTGGCAGCGTATGTTTGTGGATAAGGCACCCCCCACCTCAGAGCGAGTGCTGATGAACCGCACGGCATTCAGCCGTGACACAGCCCCTGAGCTTCAGAAGAGGTTCAGCCGGTCCATGCAGGAGCTGGGTAGGGCAGCCTTGGCTTACTCAGATGGTGAGGAGTCTGCGCAGAGCTGCAGCTGGACCGTGAGCCGGGACTCGAGCGTGGACACGGACAGCACCGAGTCCAGAACTCGCAGGAGCCATTTCTCCTCAGACTATGGTACAGATTTCTCCCAGGATGAAGCCCAGAAGTTGTTGCACGAAAGCGGTGGAGGCACTGCTGAACCTGAAAGCCCCTCACCAGAGAAGCACAAGGACTATGTGGACCTTGGCTTGCCTGAGAGCCCAGCTGAGGAGAGAGAAGTGCTGCTCCAGGGAAACAAGGAGAGCAGCCAAGGAGGTGCCCAAGAGGAAAGTGGAGAAGGCAGGGTCAAGCCTCCTTTCAGTCGGCCGCACCGCAGCCCCAAGAGGATGGGGGTGCACCACTTACATCGCAAGGACAGTCTGACACAGGCCCAGGAGCAGGGCAACCTTCTCAGCTGAGGCAGAGCAAGAAGCAGCCACACACTGCGAAGCTGTGGGATGCCTCCATCAGTCCACCTGAGGGAGAAGCCTCCCTTACTACCCTCATCCCAGGGGGCTCTGCTCTGAGATTTTATGTTTATTCTCGTCTTTTGCTACCTGGAAGAACTGGGGTCTCCCTTCCCTGGAACCTCAGACCCACAGTACTAGCACACAGTGTGCAGAAGCACACCCACTGCCCTGACACACACRCAGCTCTCTTCACAGCCTCACACTGGTGCCTGTACCAGAGATAGTTCTTGGTACCCCTCGTCCTGGTGCCTGTGCCTCTTTTTGCTCTCATCCCCCTTCCCACTCAGGTACCTGAGGCCCTGGGTGCTCTCGTGCTGTTTGCCCACAGCTGCTCTGCTCTCTTTTAACTTGTGCCAACAGGGCAGAGTGCCTGTGTGGTGGCGTCTGATTCCCTGGGAGCCCCAGGGGCTGTGAGTGGGGCACAAGGACTCTCCCAGCAGATGGCTGTGTGCCGTGGGGATGTGCTGGGGTTGCTGGTGTCTCATTTTCCTGTTGTGTTTTGTTTTCCCCAGCCGCCCACTGGGTGGTTTCCCAGAACCTCTGCCGGTTGCTGTTGCGTTTCTCCAGCGTTGGGCTCAGCAGCTGGTCCCCACTGAGGCAATGCACAGGTGCTGCCTGCTGAGATGGTTCAGGGAGGCAGTGCCTACTGGGCACTGGGGTTGGTGTTTGTGTGTCTCCTCCCTCACCTCTGCCCCTGCTATCTGTGCTGTTGTTTTGTTTGAACGGTGCTGATGCTTTGCTCTTGGGTGGGCTTCTTTCTTCTTTCCAAGCCTTTGGTTTTGGGGTGTATTGTTTTTCCTTTCCCCCACCTCGCATAAACAGACACAGCCGTTGGCAGCCGGTCTGATGCCTGCACTGAGGGTGTATTGAGGAGTCTTAGCTATCAGAGCTGCACTTCCCTCTGATCCTGGCCTCCAGCGTGCAGAAACCCCTCCAGACTCAAGAACAAGGTCTTGCCCTGGGGCGAGCAAGGCATGATGGATGCCACTGGGCTTTTTGGGCAGGGCTTGGCACAGGGCCAGCAGGGAATGCAAAGGCAGYATGCTGAGGAGCTGCTCCCTGCAGATGCACTACCTCATGGCTCAGCAGCAGCCCTTCACCAGGGTCTTCTTGCATGCCCCCTTCTTGTGGGGTGGCTCCAGGCTCTGGTGCCTCTCTGGGGCCCCCTCTTTCTGGGTAGGGCCCTCTGTGCRTTTTTCCTAGTGTAGTGTGATATTGTGTGACTTTCTTCTCAGTCTTGTGTGCTCAGTGTCTTGTTGGGGAGGGAGGGGAAGGGGAAAGGTCTGTAGATGTAGCTATTTTTTTGAAGGCTTACAAAGCCCAGGCCTCCTATTTTAATTTTGTCCTGTGCCCTTGTCTGTCTGGTGTTTCTTGGCTTCCATGGGGGTTTGGGACAGAGAACAGCCCAGTTCCCTTCACCATACCCCTTTCAAACCCTGCCCTCAGCCTGCTGTCTGGTTTTTGAGTTGAGTTTGTGTTGTCCTTCCACCCTACACCATGAGGGCTCTTCATTGGGAGRAGGAGAGCACCCTTCTCCCAGGAGGGAGCATCTGTTCACATGCATACATCAAGATTTGAAGCCAAGAGCTGCTTGGGGAYCCTGCTGCCCTCCCCAAACCCTTGTCTCTGTGAAGAGCTTGCAGCTGGGGCCAGTCACGGCTTCAGCTTGAGCCTGGAGGCTCCAGGGCCAGTGAAAGGGAGCTGCAAGCCTCTCTGGCAGCTGTGTAGGTTGCTTTATGTACCCTGGGCAGAGCTGCTGCCTACCCACTCACCTTGTTTCCCATTTAGAACAGTTGTGGAGCTGGATGCCACCCTCTGGTGGGGAGGTGGGACTCAGTATTTCACTGTAGTGTTTTGCTGTGCAGATGGGCTGGTGCTGAGAGCAGGAGCCTCTGAGCCTGCAGAGCGTTTATCTCCCCTGTCCCAGTCGGTAGTGGGGGTTCCTTTTGTTTGCTGCCATCAGCACTCCACTGCTGCATTTCTTTTGTTATTCTGCAGCATTGCCAAGGGTTTGCATCTGCAGCAGCTGCCAGATGCTGCCTCATGGATTTCACCTCTGGTTGGGTGCTCACTGAGTGAGCTGCCCTGGCTCTGAGGCTGCTGGTGGCCTGCAGTAKGGGAGGCATTGCCCCTCAGGGCTCACCCCCATCTCCCCTGAATCCTGGCACGCTGGTCAGTGGACAAAACYCTCTTGCTGAGGCAGCTGGTGCTGACCAGAGCCAGCCTCCCTCTGCTTTTGGTCAAGGTAGACTGAAAAGCAAAACAGTGAAGAAGTGGAGGGATGGCAAAGGAATGCTCGGTACCTCACCCGACACTTGTGCTTTGCAGCATTAGGCTGCTGGCAGTGGTTGAGGGGGAGTGGTGGCCTCAAGCAGCAGAGCCCTCTCTCTCCCTGTGGGCATGGTGTCCTCTGCACACCTGCCCACCTCCAGCAGTATTGGCTCTGGGGTCTTGAGCACATCCCACTTCCAATGTCCCAACTCCAGACTGTTAATCTGTAACTAATGTGTTTTTTTCTGAGATTTTCAAACTGATGTATATTTTAAGACCAGAAATAAACTATTTTAAAAGTAGATGGCAATGGCTGTAGTGTGCTTGATGCCAGTTAAGACCTGGAACAGAACAATCCTGGGCATGTGAGGGAGCAKAGCTACTCATGGTACTCCCAGGTTGGTTGAACTGTGTGTGCCACCCATTGTCTCTTCCAGGGAGAGCGATCCTGTGGCATGTTAAGTACCCTCAGTGTTATTCATAAAATTCTGCCTACTCCCATTTCACATTTTGCTGGCTGTCCTGGCTGATCTGTTTTGGCACACCCTCCATGTGTTGATCTAGTGTAGGAAGAGGTATAGCTAATCCTTTTAATAGTTGTTGGTTTTCTTGGAGCTCCAGMTCTTGGAGTCATCTGAGAGTATCAGTTCTCCTTCAGAAACTGAATGACATGGGACCATGTAACCCCTTGCTGGGGTTCCTGTGAGGTTTATAATTCTAGAGTATTTCATGTGAGGAGAGAGGATTTGGGTTGATTGGACTACCTCAGACAGGAAGCCCTCCAAACATGAGGCAGAGAGTTCCTGCAGCATGCTGATACAGATATTTGGAAGTGTTTCCTTTGCACGTTGAATGGTGCTGCAGAGGTCAGAGGGCTRTGATGACTTTTCCTCTGTCTCCCGAGTTACACTGCCTGTGCCTTTTTGGCCGAGCTGTCTGCAAAGCCTAACACTGGAAAGAGTGTCTTATTTCTTTGTCCCCGCAATTAATGATTTTATTCTTGTTCCCTTGAGTAGCAGCTGCTGCCACAATTTAATCTTCTAGCCTAATTTGAGCCTTGAAACACGATCTTCCTTGTCAGCAAGGGACGCTTAGCCAAGCAGTRCAACCCTCAGTGCTGGTGCGGGCTGAAGCCTCCACCAGAGCGTGCACGGCTGGTCCAAGCTTCTTGCCCAACCAGATTAGCCCAGCTCGCTTCCTCCTGGCCCAAGGGAGGGCTTGGGGACAGAAAATGGGGCTGTCACTGACCTGTCCCCAGGGCCGGAGTAGCGGAGCCTCAGGAGGCGCAAGAGCCCCTGAGGTAGCGGGCGGTTGGCGCCCCCTGCCGGCGCTCCGGAACCGCGGCTCCCGCCCCGGCCTGGACGGGCCCACAGCCCCTG